ATCATACAAATACAAATCACGTACAATTCTACACCAGTTATGCTCTTCTTCAGGGAATTCACAAGTTTCAACAAGATGATGTATAATTTACAATATTTCCTTTCATCTTTTATCATCTACAGCTCACAAAAATAATTTAAGCAACTTCATCCACAATATATTATCTCTCCCTAAAATAATTTCAGCCATAATGCTGATAAATTATACACAATCAATAAATTCCAGGAGGCGGGGTGGGGAACTCCCATACAAAATGACGGCGGTGCTCGTCATACCTCTTAGGGGTTGAAAACATGGTTTTGGTACCTCTCAGGGTGTTCAGCCTCAAAAGGTCCACAGCAGGAGCTTTTGCGTTACCTTCTAGGGTATTGAGGGGAAAAAAATATGACAAGAGATAATGTGTTATGTATCAATTGGTATCTCTTAGGTACACAAAAGAGGATCTTGGTACCTCTTAGGGGTTCTTTTCAAAATTTCCAACAAGTACCTCCATCTTTTCTACACGGGAGTCCACCCACCGAGCTTTTAATCTGCCAAATTAAACATGNGGTGAGGGGTTGGGCACTACTGGATTTGATTGATGTATTACTTTGTACAACAAAGGTATTTAAGTTTTTTAAAAAATGGGTCTAACATTTCAAACACACTTCCATATTATGAATGTGATAAAGCCCTAGAGGGAGAAATCATACAAATACAAATCACGTACAATTCTACACCAGTTATGCTTTCTTCAGGGAATTCACAAGTTTCAACAAGATGATGTATAATTTACAATATTTCCTTTCATCTTTTATCATCTACAGCTCACAAAAATAATTTAAGCAACTTCATCCACAATATATTAGCTCTCTTCCTAAAATAATTTCAGCCATAATGCTGATAAATTATACACCATCAATACATTCTAGGAGGCGGGGTGGGAAACTCCCATACAAAATGACGGCGGTGCTCGTCATACCTTTTAGGGGTTGAAAACATGGTTTTGGTACCTCTCAGGGTGTTCAGCCTCAAAAGGTCCACAGCGGGAGCTTTTGCGAAACCTTCTAGGGTATTGAGGGGAAAAAAATATGACAAGAGATAATGTGTTATGTAACAATTGGTATCTCTTAGGGGAGAAAAAAAATTTCAAGCCACGCCCACAAAAGAGGATCTTGGTACCGCTAAGGGGTTCTTTTCAAAATTTCCAACAAGCACCTCCATCTTTTCTACACGGGAGTCCACCCACCGAGCTTTTAATCTGCCAAATTAAACATGAACTTGAGTCATGAATGATTTATGTACATGAAGACTAATTATGCTATTGGCTTCAGTTCAACTTGACAAATAAATTAAATGGATTGGGCATTTACAGTATCTCTTTACAGATGAGGTTCTACTGCTCTGTCAATCACGCACAGAAGGGGCCCTTTCCATGAGTTGGTCCTGTGACCAGATCAAGAACGACAATCACAATGACAATGATT